TATTGTGCATTGTTATGATGTTGTACATGACGTCCTCCACCCCCGAATATTTCCGCCATCTTGGTTTGGGGGTGTGACACTTTGTATCACAAAGATTTATTTCAACAAAAGAAGTTTTTCGATTAGAATTTTCTTTTCTTTGTTTTGCAATCTTTTCCAAAAAATTTATCATCTTCTTTTAATTTTGCATTGTATGCTTCAACATTATAATCATGTTTATTCAAATCTTTCCTTTGAATGTTCTTTGTTTTTGTTAACGACTAGGTTTTACTTTTTGAAAAATTGGATGAATTGACATTTATATTAGAAGATCTTTTTGCATCAACAAACTTTTGATTTTTGATTTTTGAATGAGAAACATTATTTTCAATTTCACTTTTCTACCACAATTGTTTTCTTTTAATAAAATTCTTTTTATATATGGCATTAACAGCTCTTCTTTTTTGCTTTTATCTTCTCAACAAATTTTTAAGCTTTCACATTTTTGGAATTGCTTTTCACCATATTTTCCTTTTGAATATTAGTTGGAACATCTTTTGTTCCACTTGGTCCAGCTTTGTTTTGTAAAGATTTCACATTATTCACTTGTTCTGAATTCCAGGAAGTCAATTCAGACAAGCCTTTCGTTTTAGCATCATTTTCGATTGGTTTGGACCAAAAGAATTCTTTACAGCCTTTTGCATTATCAAGGTTAACCATTGACGTTAATTTTGATGTATGATTTTTGTCTAGTCCCTTTTCACAAAAACTTGATTTGGAGTATTTTAAATTTTTGGAAAAACAGTTGCTTGAACTTTTAAATTTTTCATTCCATCATTTTGAACAAATTGTTAAAACTCAACTGAATCTTCAAAAATCAAATTTCTTTTTGGTTTCTCATTATTATTTGCAAAATATGAACAATAAACTTCATCTTTAACTGATCTTTCATTCATTTCGCTTTCATCAAATTCGGATATATCTTATAATTGAGATTTCCTTCTGAATTCAATTTCTTGCACAACAAGTTATATTTCTCAATTGAATTGGTTTTGAATTGTTGTTTGTCCTTCTTAGTTAAAACATCATTAAACATCTATTTATTTTCTTTGGACTTAATGTATTATTCAATTTTTTCTCAAATCCAACCTTGTAAGAATCACCAACAGATTCATTTGATGATACCATTGATTTGCACCTATAACATTCAACATCAATTTCATCTTCTTTCAATTACAAGAAATGTAAAATCATTTTATGCAAGTTTTTTCCTATTTCACAATCAAGATGCAACTGTGTGATGTTAGTGTAAAATGATTTTACCATTCTTAGAATTGAAAATGAAATTGATGTTGAATGTTATAGGTGCAAATCAATGGTATCATCAAATGAATCTGATGGTGATTCTTACAAGGTTGGACTTGAGAAAATTAAAGAATACATTAAGTCCAAAGAAAATAATCACCTACTCTGATACCAATTGAATGAACATTTAGATTAACGATTCAAACAAAGATAATATTCACAAGAACACACGAAGTAATTAAGATTTCACTTTGATTAACGAGTAAGCCAGAATAATTAGATATAACAGTAGAGAACTATTCTATGCGAAAAACTCTTTCCCGTTCTTCTAACAAATATTCCTTTATATAGGCTTCACAAGAGTATTAGAAAGACATCTCAAGTCAACAGCTGAGTTGCGAACTTAATGTAACAAAAATGTGCGAAATCACAACATAAATCACACTAAGTAAAGACATTATCAAATACAAACAAATGGAGTTGACACAAAAAAAATTACGAACTTTACAGAGTAATCTATCACTTTCTTCCACTAAATTTTGGCCATTCTGAAACAATAATACTTGTAATTAAAAACAGGTATTACAAGCTTCCAATGAAATGTAACGTACTCATGAATTGTGAACCTCACATCTCATGTATTTTGAAGGCTTAACAAGATAAAGTCTTAGAAGCACATCTTTTTTTCTATCTACAAATGTGAGACATTGAAAAGTTGGCTATTTGAAACAACTCATTAAATTAACATATACAACCTCTCCCAAGAGTTCACATTTTTAACGTCCTATGTTATTTCCTATGAGTACTATGTAATTCAAGTATAATATTAGAAACAACCCTATATTATTTCCTTGTGTGTGGCTTGTTTGTACGATTGTGAATTGTGAATGTATTTTTTTCTTGCATTTAAACAAGATTACACATTATATATATATATATATATATATATATATATATATATATATATATATATATATAAAGTGGGTGGCCTTAAGTACAGTAAACTTTTACTGTTTAAGACTTTGGACACCACATTTTAAAAAGCTGTTAACTTTGGTCCATCCTCTTCACATTTTGGTCCAGTAACTTCTTGCCCTTTAAGAGTTTTTCCATAATGGTTTTTGATTTTAAAACTTTTGGTCCCTGCTGTGAAGATGTTTCTATTTTTTGCCCTGTTTGAAACGTGTTTCCTTTTTATTTAACTGATTGACCTATTTTGGCCACGTGTATTTTTCCTATGATATATGTAGGAAATTATAGGGTTTGTGGTGGAGATCTGGATACCAACTTGGATCATGATATCACTTTCCAAACTGATATTTCTACCCTATGCCTGGGTTACAAGAAATTCAGCGTAGGATAATCCAAGTGGACACTTACGATTCTAGGCACAGAAATCGTAAGCCAATTCGCTAGAGAGATTCTGTGAGAGTTTGATGAAAACGAGAGCTAAAATTAGTACATCTCTTATGAAAAGAAGAGTCGTTTATATAATAAACGATATTAGGGTTTCACTAGGGTTGGGCCGCTATGAGTTCCTTTGGTAGCAAGTCAAGGTAATCCAGCTAGGGGCTCTGCCCCTTGGACCCCACTAGGGGCGCTGCCCCTAGACCCCGCCAAAGGGGCGCTGCCCCTTTGGAAACCCCAGACCCAAGGTCGCTGCCCCCGGACCCCCGACTAGTCGTCGAAACCAGCTTCTAATTTGATCCTATACATGCGTGCACTCCGCACCAACCCGTACACATATTAGAATACAAATTATGAAGCCCCTTAGCTCACATGCTAATTCCAATTACATAAAATGACATGGTGACACTAAAATCACCAACAATATACTAGTCGTTCATTGATTTTACTGGCCGGTGCCCACCTCTATCTTAAGCGGTGTTCTCTGGAAAGGTAAACATAACAAAAAAAACCCTCTTCGTTTCTCCCCTTACTCTTTGGTTGTCGTCTATTTTGCGATAATCGGAAGCTTTCTCTACAACTTCTCCAAATTCCCTCAATCCTACATCCTGTTTCCTAAACCCTTCTGCCACATGGTTCGTTGTTGTAACGACCCAATTTTTTTTCAAAGAAAATTTTCATTTTTAATTAACCAAACACATTCCCATAAATCAAGAAATTTCAAAACAATTGTTTCAAATCCATATTCATTACAACTTTATCTTTCAAATATCAGAGTGTCCCATAAGGTCGCCTGAGAGAGAGTGCACGTCGCGCCATCAAGCTTTTCCCTTGCCCTTGGACTTAGATGAACCTGAACCAAATCCACAAACTGTAAGTGAATGCTTAGTGAGTCCCCCAGAGCATACCACACACATACACATATCCCGTTAGCTAATCAAAGCTACGCATGTAACACATAAGCCATGCCTACATAAAACCTGTAAGAATGTCATGGGCTACCCCACATGGTCTTTACCTAGGACTGCCATAGGCTACCCCACATGGTCTTACATCCAATGCCATGGGCTCCCCCACATGGTCTTTACCTAGGAATGTCATGGGCTATCCCACATGGTCTTATATCCAATGCCACGGGCTCCCCCCGGGGTCTTCCATGCAAAACACACAATCACATATCATAACAAATCACATATCATATCAAATCACATAATGGGCCGTCCTTGGTGCCTTAGACCCATGGGTATGGTGAGAAGACTCACCTCACAAAGCTGAATCGGTAACTGAATTCAGGTATGTCCTATGCTGCTCTTCCCAAACTGTTTATAATCAATGAGTAAATAACTCAGCATAATCCCATAAATACCCCCAGGGTCAACCCTGGTCAAAGTCAAAGTCTATAGTCAAGGTCGACAGTCCATATTTACCTTGACTCGTCGAGTACAATCGTTCACTCGTCGGGTTCCCTGCTTAACTCATCGACTCGCCGAGTCACCCGAGGGACTCGTCGAGTTCCTTGGTGTTTACGGCCGTAAACCGCCAACCGTACACCCCTGACCGTGAACCCTTGGTCGTGAATCCTTTCGGCTCGCCGAGTCTTTTGCACGACTCGTCGAGTCCCTATTAGTCCATTATGTTTACGGCCTCTTCCAGTGGGACTCAAGGTCCCAAACTTCAAATCTATACTCTACTAGTGTGGAATACATGTAAAGTTGCAAACTTTACGTGCATGCAAGGCCTCACATGGCCATAATCACCAAAACTAACCTTCAACAAGGTTTCCATGCATGGGAAGGGAATGAGCTCACTAAAAGGTGCAACTTTATGATAATTGGGACCTATGAAGGTCCAGATCTGGAACCATATCCTTGTGATAGGTCCAGATCTAGGCTTGCTTCCATTTCCTCAAAGTTGGTCACAACTCTAAAATAGAATTTATGCTTAAGGTAACAGATTCATACCTCAAATCAATGCCCAAGACGAACTAGATGCTAGATCTAGTGTTTTCCCCTTGATACTTCTTCTTCAAGCTTGGAATCCTCTCAAAAATCTCAAGGATAAGCTCCCAATTGATCTTACTTCACTCACAAGAGGGTGTGTGGCCGTAAACGTTCTTCTAAGGTGCTAAGGGAGGCTATTGGGGCGGATTATGATGTTTATATAGGGGCCAAACCCCAAAATTAGGGGTTTCTTTAAACAGCTCGGACTCGCCGAGTCGACCCTTCCGACTCGCCGAGTCACCTCCGTCCCGAGTTCCAGATACCCGACTCTACTCGACGAGTTGGTCCTCCAACTCGCCGAGTCCATGCATGAACCTCTCCAAATTATCAATCTTCCAGCCAATACCTAAATCGGGTGTTACAGTTGTTGGCGATCGACTGCCGCCTTTATCTTTATGCTATGTGGAATATGAAGCAAGTTGTAATCCAATTTCTTTTATGGAAATTGCTTTGGTGGTCCTGAATTGCAAAACTCACTGATTTTACATCTCAAATTTGGATTAGTTGATTATCTAGGGTTGTTCTCCACCTTCGACTGCACCACGGTGTATGTTCGCCAGAAGGAAGATCCATGGAACTCAATCATCGCCGGCGCCGCCACTGGAAATTTTTTGCAGATGCGGTATGGTTTCCACCCCGCCATTCTATCTACTTTTTTTGGTGGCGTTCTGTTAGCCATTATCGAATGGGCTGGGAGCATGCTTAATAAGTTTACGAGCGCTCAACAGCAGATGCCTGTGCTGATCAAAGAGGCGCCACAATCAACTCCAAATATGAGTCCAGGATTTGATTTGCCTAATCGAGCCTCGCAACCTCAGATGTAACGTCTCGATTCTCAGGTATTAATAATATTAAATCTTTTGAGTTTTCAGGTGTACTCGACGAGTTGGTCTCCCTACTCGTCGAGTAGTAGCGGGTTGGTCCGCGAAGTTTAATGACCTACTCGCCGAGTCTAGAAGGGGACTCGACGAGTAGGAGCTGGCAGATAGAACCCTAAATCACGGGGTTGTGCACCCTATTTAAGGAATCATAAGCCTCCCTTGGCCTCTGGACAGTCCTTTGAGAGCCTAGAAAACCCTAATCCGTGTGGTGTTTCTATACTACTGGAAGCACAAGACTCACGCTTGGATCAGGGAAAGTCACAAGGTTACCAAGAAGCTTGTAATTGAGTTCGTTTTATTCAAGTATGTCGTTACCATTGTTTCGATAATGACTAAAAAGATGATTGATATTCAGACCCTAGTGGTCATATCAAATTGAGTCCGAATACGATGAGTTTGTTACGTGGTTCAGAGAACCAAGTTCGATGTAACATCTGACTTAAGTCAGAAGATTGAAATCAATGCGATCAATAGCATCGCGCTCGTTGTTAATGAAGCTTGTAGCTAGAAATGCTATATGCAAAAATGTGGTTATATCACATTAGAATATGAAGGAAGGTATATTCCATTCTGGAATTTGACTCTAAGAGACTTGAGTCTAAGCGTTGCATCATACGATGAGAGATCATTAGGGCATGATCCATTGATATGTTACAATAGATAAGGGGAAGTACTTATCCTAAGAAGAAGAAGGAGTCCTAAAAAAGGATTTATTTTGTAACTCGAAGGTTACGATTGAGCGTCCAACATAGTATGAAGAGCAGGTGAAAGATTTAGCATCACGGTTATTGCTTAGGATGGAAAGATAACATATGGAATCATTATACAAGCCCTATTTTCGTTGATGATTCTGGTACGTAATCATCCTAAGGGGGAGATAATTGTAACGCCCGTAGATCCGGGCTAGTCAATTTAGAGACGATAAGCATCAAAAGTGACTTTTGATGAAAGATTATTTAGACGAATAATCTTAACTAAGTTGTAGTGGTCGTGGCATGGTTTCCGAAAATATAAAGAATGCCGAAATCCGAGTTATAACGAAGAAGTTATGACCTGTCGAAGTTTCGCGACAGAACCGGCACGACACAACGCGACGTAAATAGTGAATTTACGATAGAGCGATATTTGGCTTTAACGATCTAAACAAAAGTCATAAAATAAGTTAAACCGAGAGTGTGCATAAGAAGAACGTCTAAATCTGATATCGTATGAGGAAGTTATGATTTTTCTAAGTTTCAGCTTAGCAGTATGCAGCCCGAAGTTCGATTATGAGATCGAGCGATTTCTAGCCGAAACAATCTAAACGAGAATTAAAGATCTCATCGATAGTAGTCCAAACGTGAAAAGACAGACGAAAACGGACGTCCGATGAAGAAGTTATGAATTTCTAACGGAGTTTTCCTGTCCCGGCCTACTAAAAATAATATAATAAAAATAAAGTCAAAATTAGCCGATGGAGTCTAAACGAGAGTTGTAGAGCATAGTCTCACCTATGCGTGGATATAAAGAACATCAAAAACGAAGTTCGTATGCGAAAGATACAAATTTTTGAAGTTTTTAAATAAAAATAAATAAAAATTCGAAGCTTATCCGAAGAGGGAACGCCCCGCGTTCAGAAGGGGAACGCCCCGCGTTCGTTTACTTGGCCTCGGTTGGGAGGAACACCCAGCGTTCAGGGTGAGTCTGGGGGTAAAATACCTCACATACCAGAGTACGAGTCCTACGCATACCAGAGTACTATAATGTGTCTTTGGTGCTGCTTGCGCCAGGGTATTATTATGTTCTCGGGTACGAGTCCTACGCATACCAGAGTACTATAATGTGCCAGAAGTACTATCGTGTACCAAGTCTTTTTGACACTATTGTGTTTCGGTTACGGGAGCGTACAGGAGTACTCTATTAGTATTTCCCCATACTTTTTATTTTTGAAAGAGCTTTGGAGTCATCGTTTTCTTTTATGAAGTGATCGGACGAGCTTCATATGTCAGCGTTTCTTTTCATGAAGTAATTGAGGGAGCTTCGTAGAATGCCTAATAAAGTGTGTCGGTAATATACCACTGATAGGTATGTCTGGTGTTATATTGCTGGATAGGGTGAGTCTGGGGGTAAAATACCTCACGATATTCAGACCACTGCTAGGCAAAGTTCGATGCTGGATAGGGTGAGTCTGGGGGTAAAATACCTCACGATATTCAGACCATGGCTAGGCATTTTTATCTAGATAACTACCCATGACTTAATTTTCTTGTAGTTCTTTTTACGAACAGAGGTTCGTGGTGAAACTTATTCCATTCTCCTCATTTGATGTCTTTATTGATCATCGTTTGCTGTCAGGGAATTTTCGAAGCAGCTTCGTCAGTTCGTTGTTCATATCGATTCCGTAGACTAGATCTCGTAAGATCATTGCGTAGGGTCAGAATGTGGGGATCGACGGGATGGGATAGATTGTTTTAGAAATATGATATATATGTGTTAATTAATAATAGTGGCCTTTCCGGATTTAGATATACATTATTATCATATTGTTTTTGAACTAGGTGTTCATTAAGTATTTTGAACTAAGTGTTCACTAGGTGTTTTTGAACTAGGTGTTCATTAAGTATTTTGAACTTATGTGTTCATTAGGTATATTTGAACTAAGTGTTCACTAGATGTTTTGAACTTATGTGTTCATCAGGTATTTTCGAACTGAGTGTTTAATAGATGTTTTAAACTATGTGATTATCAGGTGTTTTTGAACTATGTGTTCATTAGAGGATTGTGTTCATTAAGTATTTTTGAACTAGATGTGTTTACTTGGTGTTGTTGAACTGAGTGTGTTCACTAAGTGTTTTAGAACTAAGTATTCATCAGATGTTTTGAATTAAGTGTTCACTAGGAGTGTTAGAACTAGGTGTTCGTTAAGTATGTTAAACTTAGTGTTACCGGTTGTAATTTGAGGACCTGGGCAGTGGTGGACTTTGTGTCAATTCCTTAGGTCAATCCTTAGGAATAAATGAATAAAGGATAGTTGATTCTTAGGGTAAATCCTTAAGAAATAAAGGAGATAATGGGGATGGGTAATTTGGATTGATTGATTGATTTATTGATTGGTGATTGAATATAATAATTATATTATTGTGGGTCGAAAACTGTATATGCTCACCAGGCTCCCAAGTCTGACTCACTCAGTTTTCTTTGCATTACAGGTAATGGCACAAGAGTATAAGTTGGTTGACTTGACGAGAGATTCTGGATTATAGACTAGTAGTTGTAAATAATAGTTGTAAGGTCTATTTTATATTGTGTATGCTTTTGGTCTGTATCGGAACATGACCAAAAGCCCTGTGTCTTTGGTGCTGCTTACGCCAGGGTATTATTATGTTCCCAAGTCCTTTTCTGATTTTAAAAACAAAGCATAAACAAATCGGTCTTTTCTGGCCATGAAATTGGGGATGTCACACTTAGTAGGGCGACCGTCGGTAATCCTCATTGTGGAGGGCGCGAGCGCCGCCACTGCTCCGCCTCCTCCCTGCAATCTCGGACAATCAGCCTTTTTATGGTCAGTCTGATTGCAGTGGAAATATATCAGGCCCTTCTTAGGGCAATCCCTGCTCACGTGGCCCTACTGACCACAAGAGTAACATCCCGATATCCCAGCTGTCCGACACTTCCCACTATGAAACCTCCCGCACTTGGCACATCGGCCCGGCCCTGCTGGCCTATACCCGAAGAATCAGAGGTCTTAGGCTTCTTAGCCTGAGCCCCTGCTGCCTGCACCTGCTCAGTCTTCCGCTTAGTGCGGGAATCCAACTATATCTCCCTTTCACGGGCTTTCTCCACCATCTCGTTCAGGGTTTTGCACCCCGTAAAGCTCACGAATTCCTAGATATCATCCCTCAGCATGGAATGATATTGTGTCCGTCTCATCTTCTCATCGGTAGCATACTGTGGGATCAACAAAGCTTGTTCCGGAAACTTGGTGGTGATCTCCGCCACAGTCTCGGTGGTCTGCTGCAAAGCATGAAACTCTCACACTAGTCGTTGCACCTCAATGGGTGGTGCAAACTCCAAATCAAACCGCCGGACAAACTCAACCCATGTCATCTCAGCCACCCCGGCTGGTCCCACCTGTCTAGTAACCTCGCCCCACCAATCCCGAGCTCTATCTCTCAGCATGCAAGAAGCAAACCCAAACTTTGCCACATCCGGGCATGAACTCGTGCGCTGGGCGTTTTCGATATCCGCCACCCAGCGTCGGCTGAAAATGGGGTCCCTAACCCCGAAAAACTCCGGCGCCCCACACTCCTTGAATTCCCGGAACCAAGATTCTACCCTAGGACCACAACCAAACAAGGAATAGGAAATAAGGCCAAATCAATCATTCTGAGGCCATAAGCTCCTAACCGTATACAACTTTAAAAGCATACACATAGCAAGTCTCATACGATTATCAAGTTCAAATATCAGTATAACATGGCTAACACATTGGGAAATACTTACTTGGCTCGGCCGATCGCGTGCGTTGCACTCTCTTCTTTTTATTCCGTCAAAGTTTTTAACTTTAATTTTGAAAACCAATTATCATTTCCTTTGTTTGAGTCCTGACACACCCGAGAGTGTGCCCGAATCCCTCAAACCAAGGCTCTGATACCAACTTGTAACCACCCAATTTTTTTTCAAAGAAAATTTTCATTTTTAATTAACCAAACACATTCCCATAAATCAAGAAATTCCAAAACAATTGTTTCAAATCCATATGCATTACAACTTTATCTTTCAAATATCAGAGTGTCCCATAAGGTCGCCTGAGAGAGAGTGCACGCCGCGCCATCAAGCTTTGCCCTTGCCCTTGGACTCAGATGAACCTGAAACAAATCCACAAACTGTAAGCGAATGCTTAGTGAGTCCCCCAGAGCATACCACACACATACACATATCCCGTTAGCTAATCAAAGCTACGC